GATCTAAGGGGAGCCTCTGAGGGAAAAGCGCGTGCACGTCAGTGAATTTTGTCCGGTCGGAGGCGCGGTGGTATTTATGAGGGAAGAAGGCAAACTCCGCTGAGCCGTTGACTTGTCTCTAACGGGGTGGCCAACTTGGCAAGGGGATTGGGGATGAGGGGATGGAAAAATTTAGTTGACCGAGTTTTGTATCAAAGGGATTAAGAGGTGGTGCACGGGCCACGATCACCGTCATTGTTCATGGATGAATGTGGATGGTGGGTGGCTGGGGATGGATGATATTATGGCACCTAGAGGTTGGCAGTATCATGATAATGAGGTTGATCAAGATGAAAGACGTTTCAAATCAGTCACAATAGGTGAATCAGCCGTTTGATCATTCAAATTTGTTCTGGAATATACATTTATTAGATTATGCACAGCTGATTCAGAGCTTAATTCGATCTAGAACTCTATCTCATTCAAAACGATCCAATTGAATTTGGCTGGTGAGGACAGATCAGAACGCAAGGGGAAGGTCCCCAAACCCGAAAAGACACGGGATGAGAGTGATGACGGCCCCGTAATGCCACCGTTTCCCGAGCTTCGTCTTACAAGATGATCGTTTTCAAGAGAGGAACAAACAAAGTCCGTGGAACTTGAAATGCATCATCAAATGTTTACCAAAGTAAAGTGAAGATCTTATTTTACTTGCGCTGATGAATTAACAAGCTCAAAAACGGTCACAGAAACTGATCCTTTTTTATACTGAAGCACGTGCATCACCTCTCTTACACGTTCACGTCGCGTCAAAAGAAGCCATGCAGCAAACCACCATAACCACTTAACAGCTTTCACCCTTTTACCGAAACTGGGACGCATCATACCCAACCCGGGATACAGGTCCACCTTGGATCAAGTCCAGGCAAGGGCAGGTATCAGGTGACCATCCCGTTGCAAACAATGAAAAAGAAAGCAATCACATCGGGTTTCGAGCTTGTGTTCCCAAGATTTGTGTCACTGCGTAACTGAGAACATTTTACATGATGCTGGGTCTTTATTTGTACTTCATGTCTCCTGAGGCCACGGACTACAAGATGATCCCTCCGGAAGCGAACGTGAAGGTTGCGGATGTGACCAATTGCAGCTTATCTCGAGTCCACTATCAACCCACTTCGTCCAATCACCGCCATTCTCATTTAGAGGCTGCAGTGAGGCCAATCACTGTAATTAAATGGCTCTCCCAAGCTCAAGGTCAGGCCGCATTGGGCCAGTCATGGACTCTTAGCAGCCAGGATAATTCTCCTTGCCGATGGAAGCCAGAGAAACAGCCACACCATGACTCATCCTGTGGCACTCTTAGTGGCATCACACGTGACCATCTTGCTCTAATCTTATCGCTTGTGGGGCTACCAGAGCCAAGCTGGGGTTCCAGAAAAAAAGTTCCTTCACTCGAGACTGAGCGACGGCTTGGTCAAATTTTCAATTGATAACGTTCAACAGTATCACTTTTCCTCATTCATTACGGAAAGGATACTATCCCAAGAAATAAGGGCCGCATTAATATCTTGCTTCTTGAATTAATCATCAGTCGCTGAATCCCATCATCGACGAATCCCTGCACGCGACCGCTTGACACCTACTGCGCTTCACATCAAAACCTACTCATAATGTCAACAAAACGCAAAGCGCCGGTCAAGCTGGCTGCTCCCGTCGCTAGAACTAGCGCTCGAATTCCCAACAAGTCCATCATCGACGAGTCAAAGGCCTCCATCGCCGGACCCGACGTCCTCCAGCCCTCGCAGGTTGAGACCATTGAGATCTCGTCTGATAACGACAGCGACGAAGACGTCTCCGATGCCGAGAGCCCAGAGGAGGAGCAGGCCGCTCAGGATACTGCCGTGACAAGCACCCGCCAAAAGGCCGCAAAGCAAAAGCCCAATGGCCAGTCTAACGACGAGGAATCAGACGCTGAGGGAACATCGCCTTCTTTCGGAGAGCTTCTCCGTGCAGAGAACGATATCATTGATGTGCCCTCCGCACTCAACGGCACAGTCGTCTCCCAGCCTTCGCGAAATGCCATTGTGCCCCCGACACACCAGTCCCTTACCACCGTTCTCTCTCAGGCCCTCCGTACCGACGACACAGACCTTCTCGAGTCGTGTTTGCACACCACCGATCTCCCCACCATCCGCAACACCATTGAGCGCCTCGACAGCGCTCTCGCCGGCACTCTTCTTACCAAGCTCGCCGCTCGCTTGTACCGCCGCCCTGGTCGTGCCGGAAACCTTATGACTTGGGTCCAGTGGACACTAGTCGCTCACGGTGGTGCCCTCGCATCTCAGCCCAAGGTTATCCACAGTCTGAGTGGCCTGCAAAAGGTTCTCGCTGAGCGCGCCAAGGGTCTGTCAAGTCTCCTCGCCCTGAAGGGTAAGCTCGATATGCTCGAGGGTCAAATGGATCTTCGTCGCAAGATGTCGCGCCCCGGTCTTCACAACGGCGATAACTCGGACTCTGACGAAGATGACGAGGATGTTATCTGGGTTGAGGGTGAAGACGATGCTGCGCGCACACCTGGTCGAAGGCGAGGTCTTGACACCGAGTTTGACGATTCAGACGATGATGTTCCTATTACCAACGGCTTTGTTGGTGACTCTGACGATGAGGAGGATTCAGCTGGTGAGGAGGACGATAGTGATGCCGAGGAGTCTTTGGACGAGGATGAGGTCAACCATGACGATGTGGATGAGTCTATGGGTGAGGATGAGGAAAGCGATGTTGAAGCTGCGCCACCATCCAAATTGCAAAAGACGGCTGGTAGCTTCGGCAAGCGGAGGTAAAGCAGAGGAATTCAAAAAGCATGTAGAAGATTGAAAAGGGGGAGGGAAGCTTGTTATCATCCTGGCGTTGGTCTTGTAGACATTGGGTTGCTTAATTTTTCTGTATGTCTGTTTCTTGCAATATGACGAGTTGATACCTCCCCATGCATTGCATCACTGTTGAGCGTTTGGACTTGAGTAGTTTTGGTCATATCATCGTGTTCATGCTCCTAGTCTAAAACTACATGCCACCGGATCGAAGAAGCAATCCCAGAAAAACATATTAAAACGATTAGATTGTCAAAAAAAATAGCTGTGCCCTTCCAGCGTCGCAAGTATTTCCAGCGCCATGCAATGCTAGGTGCCATGCAGAACAAGAAAAAGCAAATTCCTCTCAAGATGTTATCCCCCCATTGACCTCTATCCACAACACCAGTGATAGCAATGCTGTAAAAAGCTTCCCCTTCCCTTCTATGTTTCCTCAAAATAGTACACTAGATGTATCTTCCAGATGTGTCGTCTTAGAAAAGGTACTTGCAGACCATGTCAACAGCCGATATGCTATTGACTTGCTTAAGGGTGAACACCCTGACGCCACTGCTCGATTCTGTTGGTAGAACCACCTTGACCAGGCATTTGCATACCAGGTTGCAACATGCCTCCGCCATAAACACTCATGGCACCAGCGCCATAAGGGTTCATGCCGTTGGGCATGCCATTATACACCATGTTCATCGCACCCAGGTTCGTAGCTGAGCCGCCATATGGGGCTTGCTGCATCGGGGCCCCATAAGTACTGAACACAGCACTCTTTTGGTGGTTAAGAGCTGGTTGGTTGAACAGTTGCGTATGGAGGGCAGGAGATGACATGGCTGCTTGGGAGTTCTGGCCACCAAGACCATTGTTGAAGGTACCTCCACGGTAACCTCCAGATTGCGCATTGCTAGGGCCACCGAGAGCCTGCGGCATTTGGCTTCGATAAGCGGCCATCTTAGCGTCACGCTCTCTCAGAAGCCTCCTCTCATGTTCCATACGAGCGCGCTCCTCCTGAGCTTGGTTGGTCTCCCTCTTAGGATGGGCAGAGAGGACACTGGACAACTGGTGCATTCGCCCATTGATTCCTGGGATTGGTGCCTCAGCCTCTTCGGCACTGGCGTTCAGCTGGTTGAAACTCATCTCACGCTCACGGGCTTCTCGCTCAGCTTGTAGCCGTTTTCGTCGTTGACCCAGGGTTTCCTCCTCGCCAGCCTTGGGCTTATTCTCTTCCTCTTTCTTCTTCTTCTCTTCAGGGTCCTCGAATTGATTGAGGAGCTCAACGGAGAACGCACTGCTGACAGGTCGGGCTTTAGGTAGAAGGTTCTCTGCTTCTTCCTTGGCTGCAAGCCGTCGCTTTCTATCAGCAAGAGTCTCTCCTTCAAATTCATCATCCGGCTCAGTCGATGCGTTTTGTACGGAAAGTTGGGCAACAGATTGGTGTGCCGAATGAGGAGTCGTGGGAAGATGATTGGCACTGAGGTTGTTCATGCTAGGTCTGTGACTGATCACCATAGATCGAGGATCCTGGCCATGCAGACGAGCTCGGCGGTGACTGAGGGGTTCGTTCTCTTCCATCTCACGGCGCTCCATCAAACCAATAGGGCGTTGAAGATCCATAACATTCTTTGCACCTTGGTTACGTGCTGCAATGACAGCCAGAGGAATATCCTCATCATCGGAATCCTCATCAGCAGCTTGTGCCTGGCCTTCTTCCCATGCCAGGTTGATACGCTTGTTATTTCTTGCCTTCTTCTGAGTTTCGGCAACAGCATCCATCTCTAACAGTGTTGCATGCATGCCTCCTGGGAATGTTCGCTGGGTACGTTCTTTTTGCTGCTGCTTTCGCAACTGTAACTCGGCCAGGAGTGTCGTTGGGGGTCCATTGTAGCCTTCCTCCTCAGACAGGTCCTCAGCTTCTTCGGCGGCTTGTTGCTCATCATCAACATGGCCATCGCTACGACCATCGACACTGCGGGCTAGTCCGTCGTGCTCATTCGCATTCGTGTCAGCATTGACCGGTCCCAGCCCAGACTCTGACTTATGATCCTTGTCATCGTCACTAACATGGCTGTGACGTTTGCCAAGCCACATAAAAGAGGAACGCTTTCTGGCATGTTTCTTATCGCCTTCAGGCTCAAGAACCGTGGATGCAGCAACTGAAGCTCGCTTCTTTTCTTTGCCGTAGACTTCCTTTCCAAGTCTGCCGGCGCGTTCGTGATCGGTAAATGCACTGACAGGGGCGTTTGCCGAAGCATCTAGAATGCTTTCAAGGGTGGCCATGGCTGAGCCGTCCTTAACCTCGATCTCTCCTTGTGTGTTGTCGGGTAGATCAAAGTAGGCGCTTGCTCTGAGTTGTGGAGGCAAGTTTGACATTCTCGACTTTCGCTTGTCAAGTTCGTTCCGAGACAACCGTTGAGGGCGCCTCAGTGTCTCAATCGGAGCATTGACATTGGCTTCAGGTTGCACAGCAGGAGGAACATCTTGGTCCGAGTGGACAGAACGAATTGTCTCTGGTTCCTGTCCCAAATTGCCAAATCCGTCGGATGATAAAGCAGCAAATGATTCTCGATGACCAGCAAGAGGGTCAGGGAGCCAGGAATCTCTCGTAGTATCACGCTCTTGTGCCTTTGCATCGGCGTCCAACATCTTCGATTGCCTGTTGCCTTCAAACATAGCACTCATCACCTGGGAGCGTCGCTTATTTCTTTCATTGGCCTTGGGTTTATTGGACAGCTTGGGGGGCAGATTGAGCATAGCGGGAACCCGCGCAGGGTAATAGAGCATTTGTTGACCGGACTCCGGGTCAAAGTAAGACTGTGGCCGAACATGTTCGGAATGGCTCATCTGTCGCTGTCGAGGTCGAGGCTGGGGTTGAGGCTCCAAGTCATCAGGGAGGGAGTAAGGATCATCTTGTTCAGGCACCCAATGGACGCCATCAAAGTCGCCAAATGCATCCTGACATTGTTGGAATGTTGTATCTGAATGTGAGCTTCCGGGTCGCTGAGGATCCCTAGACTCTTGATCGGCAAGGAGACCAGTGCTCGCATCAGGGTGCGAGCGCTCGTTCTTGGAGGTCATAAAATCGTCGTCACCCATCATGTTTTGGAATACGTCGGTGGCGGGCATATTGGCATCGCGGAGCTCATCAGGGAGGAGAGATTCACCCTCAGGGTTCTTGACCGGTGTTTTGTCGGCCATGTCGAGGACGTCCTGGGTTAGTGCAATAGGCTCTGATTCCGATATCTCGGCAAGCGAGACCTTTGTCGACCGGACACTTCTAACAGATGCTTTGCCTGGGCCGTGACGGGATAGAACTGTATCTAGATCAAAGTCTGGTCGGCCAGCCGAATTCTTGGATCCTGATCGAAGACGTCCGGTAAAGGAGTGATTAGGCGAGAGTACGTATCCACCGGGGGAATAACCACCGTGGCGTGCGGCGTTATTTGTAGAAACGATGGAAGAAGCGATGGAAGGATGTCGTCTTAGTTGTTCGATAGCGGAACCAGGGTTACTGGTGTAATCGTCAATGGACCCAGAGGCTTTGACGCTGGCAGCAAGGATGGAGGAACGTCTGCTATCGGATCGCTTTAATTCAGTGTGTAAATCTCGAATCGCATCGTCGATGGAACTGGTCATAGACAATCGTTCGGCGGTCGCTTCGAGTTGTGCGATGTTCCCGACGTATGCTCCAGATCGGGCCTGGGAGGTAATGTCGGGAGTTGGATGTTGGATACTGAGCGAAGGTGAGTCGGGCGCTGTACGGACAATAGGCCTTGGCGTAGGCTTGACAAAACTCGTATCGAGTTTAATGCCACCGACTCGAGAAGAATGGGATGTTGTGTGAAAGGGAGGAAAGTCGTTGTCGCGGGAGTCGTGTGAGGAATGTCCGGTGCGGTGTCTTTGATGCCCAGGGGGAACGGAATCGTTGCTAGTGGAGGCCGTGCTTGACATGGCCTGGGTGGCGCTTTGAGGAGCACTACAGTGGCTGCGTGCCTGTGCCTGTGCTGTGGAGGCCGTGCTTGACATGGCCTGGGTGGCGCTTTGAGGAGCACTACAGTGGCTGCGTGCCTGTGCCTGTGCTGTGGCTATCCCTGACGCAGGGAGCCTTTCCACCGATAAAGGCCCTATAGATGCAAGAGCAGTCTCGTATTGCTGATTTTTGCTCGAACTATCTATTCGATACTCGTGCTGATCGGAATGAAGGCCCCTGAAACCAAGACTGGGCTCGCCGGTATTTGATGGGGCGGTGCTATTTTGGGTAGCGAAGCCTGTCGTATTTGATGCAGCTTCCGCTGGCGAGATGATTTTTGGCTGCGCAGTGACCTCTAATGGCTTTGTTTGGACGTACTCATGGGACCTCCGATACGATTGCCGATTACAGTTTTGTTGTAACTTTGATTCCTTCTCGATTGATCCAGAAACATTGACCTCATGAGCGGCACGTGTCTGTTCGGCGAGGCCGCCATCTGTATCTGTCCCTGTACATCCAAGAGGATCTGCGTTGCGCTGGCTCTTAGTGCTGGGGTCTGAGGGTCTAGCGGGCGACCCCGCTATAATCACTGGCGATTGGCTGGATGGCGCTGTAGGTCTGTCGAGGCCAGCACTAACACTGCTTGGCTCGAGACCGCTTGCGATGAACTTGTCGATGTCGAGAAAGCATGAATCGTCCATGATGCTGAGTGGTGTAGATGTTTGGTCGGCCAGCGACTGAAACGAGACCAGCTCAGGACTTGTTGTTTGGGGCGTTGAGAGAGGAGACGATAGCACAGGTTCTATAAGGGTGTCGTCGTTCTCTTGGCCGCGGTCAGATATGGTAGCCTTTGGAGAAGTCATGATTGATTGGTGAGCGCAAAAGTCGAGCGATCCTGCGCCAGCCGAACAAGGCAGGGAGGAAGCTGCCTTTGTGTTAATTCTTATCAAGCAAGGATGCGCTTAGCATCCAGATCGCCGTGCCAGACAGGGAATTGGATATAAATGGGCAAGATTGTCCAGATTCGGTTCCAAGTACCCGAATGTAATCGAAGACGAACGGCGCAGCAGCGCAGCACAGCGAATGCACTGACAGCTGTTATCGAAGTGACTGTAGTTTGTAGTGTGGTAATGAAAGGTCACGGGTCAGCACCCCATGATATGCTGGGCTGTAGTCGGTGTGCTATAATGATAGCTGGCTGCAGGTATCGCAGTTTCGGTAGTAGTTTGCGATAGTGGGAAGCCGGTGTCAGACCAGGGTCGAGAGCTCGAGCGCAGGGACGTTGAAGCTCTTGAAGCTGTTGGATGGAGAGAATTGGGAAACAAAAGGTCACGGCGCGACAGCGCAAATATGTCTAAAAGTAAAGTTAGGATGGCTGGACCAAAACGGCGAGACTTTTGTTCAGAGTTTGACGAACGGATATTTGAAGGCAGGGGTCCTTGTAGCAACGGGAACAAGGCGGGAAGCCAAAAGTCGACTTTGATATAAGCAAGACGGAAATGGCTGGAGAGTATAATAACTATCGCCAGCGCAGCACAGACTTGCACTGACAAAGGAAAGACGAATTAGCTGGATCGAACTGGTAGTGTAGCGCAAAGCACAAGCCAAGCGGAAAGGTATCCTGGTGTTTCAATGCTGGGTCGCGTCGCATGGAGAGACAGGATGATCCAGGTACCGAGCGAACCAGGTACGCTCGGAAAGGCCCGCAACTCAAGACAAAGACAACGACAGAGAGCAAGCAAATAAGAAGCCAGACATGAGATGAAATGAGACGATGCAGGGAACCAGAGAAAAGAAAACGTGGCTACGAGGAGAATTGGCTCGTACCTGACGGCTCGCATTTGCAGGCGCAGTGCAACGAGGAAGCTTGAGAAAACGAGTCGATATAAGCGTTGAAGCGCAATGCACGGTCGTGTATGTACCTCTCGGGTCAGACAAGTACGCAAGGTCCCAGGAGTACAAGAAGCAAACAACGAGATAAAGGGTCAGTCAGAGTTGTACAAGTCGCGGTACGGCTGATGTTGGCAGAGAGATTGGCCTCCACTGTCTGTTGTGGTTGCGTAACAATGGTATCGGCGCAAAAGAAGAAAAGAAGGACTGAATTGGATCCCAATGTCGCAAAGTTGTAAAAAGTTGGCAGTTGGAGAAAGGATGCTTGCCCGTTGACTTAAGTGGGACGATACCAAGACTTTTTCATCGGTCAATTCAGTTCAACTCGATGGATGAGACGTTATGAATCGCGCATAGTAAGAATGAGTGAGTGAGCGAATGTTGTTTACGGAAAAGTCAATGTAAATAATCTTTAACCTAAAACGTATAAACAGAGTTGAAGCTTTACTCGGACAAGGCATATGCAGCTTTACCACAATGATTGAAAACGGCATGGGATGTCACACTCTTCAATCTACACTAAACCCGCCCATGAACAAGTCTAACTTGATCAATGCTAAAGGGAGAGTCTGATAAGCCAATGCATGCTTGCGATGTGCTATAGGGCTCAGCTGATATTGCAGCAACAGCATCCCTTAATTCCTTGACAATAATGCCCATCTTGTACCCATCTCAGAGATTGGATCTCTTTGACTCTGTAAGAAATGACCAGATCGCGATGCTATGGGTCTCTTTTCTCTCTTCCATCCATTCAATGTAACTCGACCAACCATCGCAAGCTAGAAACGCCAGTCTCCACAAGCTTGATCCTTCTTTTCTCCCCGTCGACCAATGATTTAATACCGAAAAAAGAAACAAAAAAGAAGACTTTTCCCTCGCATGTTTTACCTCGTTTCGCATGCGGGCCCAGGCTTATCCCCCAGATTTCTCTACCCTCCATGATCTAGCAAAACAACAGATAATCTTCCAATGACCATCAACAAGATGCCATTTTCTGACTGTGGCTTTAGATAGCGCCGTTGATAACTGTCGAATCCTACGCTGGAACAGATACCCACCATCTTTTTGTCATGTCGTGCCCTGTTTTTTTGGTTCCCCGGAAGCGGCAGAGGATTTCAACGCCAACTCTACCGAAGAATCCACTCGCGGCCAAGTTTCTAGTCCCCGTTCCTCATGGCTTTTGAGGTTTCCCATAGGCTCAATGCTACCTTTAGTGCTAGTTCCTGGGATGCTCCGCTCAGACTGTAGAGCAGCCGCAGATGGCTTGGGCTTGGGCTTGGCTGAAGCAATGTCGCGGTGGAAAACGAACGGTGTGCATCAAGATTCGACCATGATGACGGCGAATGTCAGACTTTGAGCTCGACCCGTGCCGTATCGCTTACAGCAATAAATCATCAAGTGGTAAGCAATGCCTTGGCTGGTAATAACATATCAAGAATTTTGATATCTTGGCCACCTCTCAATCTCGATCATCGACAGGGGTTTTAATGGGCACACCAGAGCTCTGGGCCGTTTTGATCAGGATCACCTTGGTTTCAACATCAAAAACGCCTCCATCAGTTCGCAACGGCCAAGCCTCAACGACACAAACTCTTGCCAACGTTTTCTCATCTGTAAAACAGCCGTTCGCAGACCCGTTGTTGGTTTCATTATCTTGCCAGCCACTGTTGCAGAAAACCACATTGTGGCGCCTGCAACCCTGGTTCACCACGTTGGATCCTGGTCATTTACACAGGTGGCAGCCAGGGAATACGTTGTTATCTCATCATTTCATGCAGGGGCATGTGGTCCTTTGCATCTGCGTTGCAGCTCTAAAATGGTAACCTCTGAAACCAAGAAACAACTCAACTCTGCGTAAGAGAGCCGCTATCTTCCGGAGGGTCCAGTTACATCGTGACATTACTGTTGCAATCGGCTTCTTGTCCAAAACCCGGGTTGCCGGGTCACGTTTTTGTTATGGATGTCCTGAAACAACGGTAGTTGGGGCTCTATTATTAGGAGAGCATTTCTACTATTATCTTGACTCATGTTGCTCTATAGGTCTCCTAGGGTACTTACTTCTGTTCTAGCTTTGACACTGCAGTTTTGATGAAATGTCCGATGGGGTAAATCACGTTTCCCTCGCGTAAGTTCGATCGGTACCTCGATCTAACCTTGTGTTATAGCCTGGGGAGATCTTACTCAACCGCATATCAACAGATTTATTACACTCAACGGTGGTATACTTTCGCCCTTTATGTGCAATAAGCGTTTAAACAAGGTTTTATGCAAGTGAAAAGGCATTTCTCAAGTATTAGAGAGCATGTAGCATGAATAGTGGCCGCTTTCCCTTTTCGAGGATCAGGGGAAGCAACAAAATCTAGGACCTCGATTCTGAGAGACAAAAAGACTGAGGTAAATTTAGGTAGACTTAGTATAGATTTATATCTTGTTATATTGGGTTATTTTGACACTCTAAGTTTAGGTCAGAGCTGTTTGCTCTCTAAATACCTCAAGTCTTGGGCTCCTGTGGTTGTGCTTGTGTTTCTGCCTCCTGCTCTGCCTCCGACTCTCTAACAGATGGTGGATTCTCCAATCTCTGCCGCTCATCCATTGTAAGCTCGCTCTTAGCGGACCCAATTTGGATGAACGGGATGAAGAGCAAAGGAATCGATGCCACGCCAAAGGCCAGCCAGAATGCCACCTTGTAGCTTTTTCGAAGTCCCAGGTTCGCCGTTTCTGCAACCGCAATGTCTGCAATACCGAGGAAGAAACTGATCCCCAGGAAGAGAACACTGTTGATTAGAGCTCCCGCGAGCCCTTGTCTATAGCTTGGCATGTTGGTGGTCAGGAAGATGTTGCTGACTGTGAAAGTGATGTCGATGCCGATGGTACAACAAACCATTGCCGGGAAAACCCAGGCCCAATAGTTGGGATTCTCAGGCATAAGTGCAAACAGTAACATGGTAATTGCATTGGCCAAGGACGAGATGAACAACAGCACTCGTCCTGGTAGGAAGTGTAGTGTGAAGCCTCCAACGGTGCCAATGATGAGGCCACCAACGCACATAGGGATGTACCAGACCGCAGTTATGAGTGGTGATCGGTGCAATACCAACTCCATGTAGAAGCTTGAGTAGAATAGGAAGAGGCCGAAGGTGCCAAAGGCCATGAAGAGCACAGCCAGCAGACGACTCATCCCCTTAGGCGCAAAGAGGTCGGCGGGCAATAGAGGAACTCGAGCTTTATGCGTTTCGACGTACCATGCGCTGGCTAGGAACATGACTCCGAGGATCAGTGTGACGATGATATAGGGTGTAGCCCAGCCGTGGGGGGCATGTGAACTATCTGTCAGAGAGTAGACAACAAGGAGAAGGCCAGGGACGATAGTTCCAACACCCCACCAATCCATGGGGATATCAGTCTTTCTATCGCGGAAGTCGAAAGGGACAGCAAGAAGGGAAACGGAAGACACAACGGCAAAAATGATAGTACCGATCCAAAAGTACCAGCGCCAGTCAAGATACTCTGCTGTTAGACCTGCAACGAAGATACCAAAGAAGAACCCCAGGGGTGCAAAGGCCCCGTACAAAGCAAAGATGAGATTCTTTCGAGGTCCTGGACGATAGAATTTGCCCATCAGCATAACACCACCAGGAAGATATGCAGCAGGGCCGAAGCCTTGAAGAGCTCGACAGAAGATGAGCATCATGTAGTTCTTGCTGAATCCTGCAATGAGTGCCCAGAGCATGAACCACAGGAGGCCACCATTGAAGACGATGTAACCGCCATACATATCGCTGAGGCGGCCCATTGGTAGAAGCATTGCTCCTGTGATAAGAGAGAAAACACTTGAGGGCCATGTTTGTGAAGCAGCTGGGATATTGAGTTCTTCAGCTAATGGTGGAAGGATAACATGAAATCCACTGACGAAGAATTCCTGATGATGTCAGTGCCTGCGTTGAACAGTGGTTGACACAAAGGAATAGGAGAT